TGCCTTTGTGTTTTTCACCCGCCTTATGCTGCAAAATATTATATGTAAATAACATATATAAATAACAGAACGCACATATATGTATATATATAGATATATATATATACATACATACACACATAAGCAAGCAAGCAAGCATATGGATAGCAGCAGCTATCTGAGCTGTGATATTAAGTAATCTGAAGCATTCGCATTCAATCGTCTTAATATCAGATTGAGAATCAATGTACTGGAAAATGTATTTAGACTACTGTGCTTTTGCATTAGTTTGAACATGTTTTGCATGAGAAATTAGTTCATCTACTTACATGTAATAAACATGTTTCGTTTTTAGTTTTAGTTTTTCAGAAAGCTACGCTAAACAATGCACATAAATGTACATATTCTTTGTATATATTCTTTGCTTTGGCTATAGAATCTTTACATTTTTCTTAATGATACTGATCCTATCCTATCAATCGTTATCAAAGATGTAATTAGTTATTGGGATTCAAGACTGATTGTGTTCAATCGCTCATAATATGGGATATATATATATGTTATATATATATATAAGAGATATAAAAATAAATAAAAAATATCTGGAAAATGTGTCGTGTGCGTATGTAAGCCGTTTACCTTGAAAATGAAAAAAAATTGAAAAAAAAGTGATCTTTTTATCTGTCAAATACTTATAGTTGTAGGAGAGAGTAACACTTCCCTTTATTATACGGTACTGTACATATGTTCATTTTGAAAGTGATGCAAATCTATCTTGCGAATTGGCTGGAAAATTTTTGAAGAGACTTACTTGGCCGTAAATAATCTGCAAAAATATTTGTCATTCCCGCTAGATTTGCTAGTAGTATTCCTTGCAGATCAACATCTCTCTCTCTCTCTCTCTCTATGTTTGGAATGAAACTATTACATCCAGAGAATCGATCACATGAGGTAACATCTTGCTATTTGAAGCACTTCCAGGATGTTACAAGCCAAAAATGCATTATGGCTTATAGTGAGTGGTATGTTCACTGGCTAAGAAAGAAATATAAACGTTGCCTTCCAAGCGAATGAAAATTGTGCAGCCATTGCTTACAAAATTTCTATTGTCAAGACATTCATTCCTATCAAATGATCGCGAGATGGAAGCGGTAGAAATGGCAACCCCTTCTATATCCCATAATTCCTTTTATATTCCTCACAGTTGCTATAATGTATTTATCCAATGAACAAATATTTATACAAAATTGAATATGTTTTTGTGTGTGTGTATTGTGCTCAAGAGGGGCTAGTATAACTGAAATATTATCGCTATAGGTAACGATAACAACAATTTCTTTACTTTGAAAGTGAAGTAAGTGCTTTATTTTTTTTTTATATTTTTTTTATTTTTTTACGCACCACGATGAACGTTATTGGAAACCAAATTTTTATTATTTAATAAAACAAAATTATAAAAAATATATCCATTAGTGGTCGCCAATATTTATCCTTAAGTTTATTGCGATGCGAACCTTTAAATATCTAGCAATGGCAAGAAGTGGACTTGCGTCACTTTCAAAATAAACGGCCGTGTCCTGTAAGATAGCGGTAGCGATTTATCCAAGCCAGTCTTGCGATCGCTCCTAGGAGAACAAAATTCATCTCAAATCGCACCTTCATCGTCCCGTCAGCTTGGTTTAGTTGTTAAACAAAAATTTCAAAAGAATTTTTTTTATGGCCCAGCATATAGAGCACTCATAATTTGATTTAATCAATCAATAATAAATAATATGAAAAGATGCGTTAGCCAAATATTAATTCCATATTTGAAATCATTGGAAAGCCCTAGCAATAGAATATGACAGTGAGTAACGAAGGCCTAAGCGAGTTTAAATTGCGAATGAAAGGATTTTACTTCAAATTTTATTTCTGCTGCAATGTAGGAAATGACACGTAAAAACATTACAACCGAGTAAGGGCAATCACTGAATACCCTACATCACTTCATATAAATCAAGTCTTCATAGATTTTCCTATTGGAATACTAAAGACTATGTTTGTATTGGCATGAAAGGCCATAATTTCGCTGGACGTTCTTACAGGGAGAGGGGGCTGAAATGGTGAGTGCAAGTGCTTTAAAATTTTAGGAAAATCCATTTTCTGACCAAAGATTATAAATACTGCTAAGAATTTGAGATTTGGTTTTCGTATGAGACTTAATTTTCATGAAAACTCTTCTGGAGCGTGGGATTCGAAAAATAGTCTTACATGATCCAAATTACAGTTCATTATTATATCAAGCTATTATTGTCGTTCAATTAAGTTCATAAAATATTAGACATCGTAGCAATCTTTCATTATATAAAGCCTAAGACTCGGATTTGTTTCTCATCATAAGATCTCCGGGATAATAAAATAAATTCTTACACACTTGCAATATGCGCAAAACATTATAAAAATTAGATAAATTCTTTCGTTTGATTGAATACTCGTATTTTTATATTTAGGAATACTCGTATATTTAGGAATACTCGTATTTTCTTGCTTTTGCCAGCATTGCTCATATAATTTTGAAGTATGCAAAAATGAGTTACGCTGCTATCGCACTGTACTTACAAAACAAGTCTTAAAATGTATAATACTTTAACGCGATCATTTACTTCTCCTTCTGTAAGTACACAACCAGTTTTCAAATATTATATTATATTAAAAAATTACGAGCATAATGCATAAGGCATTTTCCCACTTAAACAACAGCTGTTCGCAAAGAGCAACAAGAACGCCAACAACAGCAGTAGCAACAGCTGAAAATATATCGCTTCTGGTTGCTTAATACATGCTGTTGTCATTGGTTTTTTTCTTTTTGCTTTTTTTTTTTTTTTTGTTTTTGTTTTTGCTTAGCTAACTAAGTTCATTTTCAGTAAACGTTTTGTTGTTTCATTTTAATATTTAATTGTTTTTCACAAAGCTTTTCTTTATCGACATAATTAAATGCTGATGTCGTGGTCTTTGTTGCTCCCCGTTGTACCATAGTCATGGATTAATATTTATGTCATCAATACCAACGATTTCTATATCGATTTTGCAAAGGCAAAACTTTTTCAGTGTATAAGAGCGGACGTAGAGGGGACGTTTAGATAATTTTTTGTGTATGCATCTGTGTGTGTGTGTGTGTGTATCTTGAACAAGGTTGTTTAAGGTAAACTGCTTTATTGTGGATTCAATAGTATCTATAAAACTATTTTGGTGTTCTTATCTATATATCTATCTATACAACTAACTGCCTGAGAAGTATTGTTTTAAGTTGATTTCTTTACAATAACAATTGATGGGAGTTCAGTTCAGTTCAGTTCAGTTCAACTCAGTTCAGTCAATCAGTCAGTCCTATATTACATTTCGTTTTTTACGTTGCCTTTTCTACAGTTGCAGAAGCGAATTGAATAAGTGCTCTTGCAAAGTCCGACTTTTTATTTTCAACGCATACATTTATAATTGTCTCCTTCTTATATTCGCGTAATATTATATTCTTTAAACGTATCGGATTCTACTTACCCCGAAACGATTCTGTTGCCCGACCGACTGTCTGTTTCTGTCTGTTGCTGAAAGGAGCCTCGTCGAAAAATTCGCAAGGGAAAGGCATACGTGTTTTCGCTTTTCTTAGTTACTGGCAGCAGATCGAATTAGAAAGTTTTTGCGATCGATGAATCAATAACTTATTCATACTTTGCGAAAAACGCACATTTTATACCAACGATTGCTGGCAAAACTTTTACGTAAATATTTCCTAGAGCACTCTATAGGCTTGATTCGCTTATATAGTCGCACATTCATAATTTCTTAAACGGATCGTAACGGATCGTAAATTGTACAATTTTTTATGTACAGGCTCGAGGTGGTCAGTATTAAAGATATGCGCTAAGACAAGTACAACTTTCTTAGAAGTTTAAAATGAAACTTAAAGCCGGTTTATTGTCGATTTCGTTTGGTTAAACCAAACCAAACTTTTTACACATTCTCACCAAACATATACCACTCACACAAAGGCAATGTGTATAACGAAACAGAGATGTAAAATTTAGTAAAATTGTCCCTTTTTTCTTTTAATACATTTAACGAAAAGTACCGCAGTACTCTTTGTTCCGTTCAATTTAAGCAAGCTAAGCAAAGTAAGTTGAACGTGTCAACGATTCGTTTAGCGAAGCACAACGAGTGGTATATGGCTAGGAAGAATGAATGCCGCAAATAAGAGGAAAAAATTATGTATTCGCCTTTACAATGAAATATGTGATATTTCAGATGTGTACATACGGCTGCTTAAGATAATTATGAAATTATGAAATTTCGGTAAAAATGCCGAACAATTGACGATTTTGAATCAATTTTAGATTATAAGTACGATTACGTTGTAAGTTTTTCAGTTACTGCCTAATGCGTAAAAGCAGATGCAATTAATAGGCGTTGCGAGTAGGAGTGGCAGTGAGTCCTTCTCAAGCGAGCTAAAAATAGCCTCAGTGAATTTGGCATAAAAATTCGTTGGAGGTCAGGATAAAAAACAAAAAAAAAAAGAAAGAAAATCTTGAATACAGAAATCCCTTACGATATTTTATTGCAAATTTGAAAAGTTCAAACAACGAACTAATATTGATAGTTGATAGTACTTGCAGATCCACCAAGTCGCCACTAGGTATTAAGAAAGTTGTGAAAAAGTTGAATAAATATAAACAAGTAGGGGAACTGTATTCGCCTCTAGTCGAATCCTAGGCATGTCACTTAAGGTCAAAATATATGGAAATTATGGTTTGTTTTTTCTTATTTGCTAGTTCCTATAAGTGGCTAATTGGGTTTTTCTGCTTGATTGCGATTTATTTGAGTCCGATAAGTAAGTAGTTTAGTCAGATCTCGATCGGTCATCTGTTAGGTTTGCAGTTTTATTAAAGGAAACATTTTTGCAATTGTTTGAGATAGATTTCTAGTTATTGAATGAATGCATATAGGCAGATCAGATTTAGCCGAAGTCTGAGAATATATATATATATATATATTCCTCATCGTCTCGAAAGTTTCACGCGGTTTATATCTACATTTTAAAATTTGAAAGTCATGAAGAGAATGTGATATAAGAAGCTGCAATTGGTTCAATGATTTAAATTTGCAGGGCTCATGCTTGATCTTTTTGCTAAGACGCCGGTGATAGTTAAAGAAGAGAAATGATTTAAAATGAGTTAATACTTGCCGGCAGCAATAGATGTGAAATTTTAACAAAAATTCTACGAAAGCAAATTTTTATTGAAATATTCGACGCGAACGCCACGCCTTCGATTAAGTAAAATTATAATTTTCGTATAAATATTTAGCCAAGGCGATGGGTGTCTGAGATGCGCACCGAAACCGATGTAAAGTTTTTTCGCTTGTTTTTCTCTCACCTTCTTTTTCTCTTCTCTTTTTCTCTTTCTATCTCTCTCTCTTTGTTATTTGTTTTTTTTCCCCCCATTTGATTGTCTATTAAAAAATGTATGCAAGTGTGTGTCATTTTCCTGTTGAGCGAAAATATTTTTTTAATGCGTTAGATGATTTTTAACTTTGAACGAGATAACAACAACACGCTTTGCAAACGACAAAAGGATTTTCTTTCATTTTTCATTTTATTGAGTAAAGAAAAGCTTTCGTTTACTGCGGTTTCTCGCTAACGTGTTTGAATCAACTTCCGTTTTTACGTTATTACGTGATTCAGTTTTTTTTTTTTCTGTTTTTCTTTTCTTTTTTTTTTTTTCTTAAACGGATCTTTAACCATTGTTTAGTGTTTTAGTGGAAAAATGCATTTAATAAATCGCATTTATTATTACAATTATTTATGTTTTCGTCATTTTTCTAATCGACATGAAGTTGCTTTAGCTGGCAACACTTGAACACAAGTAAAATAAAAATTTCTTAATCGTCTCGTCACTACTATCATTAATTAATATTAATAATAATAATAATAAAAAATAAAAATAAAAGAAAAAATAAAAAAAAAAATTAAAATATTGATATAAACTAATGTCATATTATAATAATGAAATGAAATGAAATGAAATGAGGAAAGTGAAGGAATAAAAATGAATAATAATAAGTCGATGCAAGAATGAAATTTTCATAAATTAAATCAATGCAAATGAATTCATATCTGTAAAGTTCATTAGCGTCATGAAAAGATATCATTAATGAAAAGATACTTTTAACTTTAGCCCGCAGTAGCTTTCTTTCTCTGTAAATTTTTGAACTTTTTGTTTATTTGTTTTCGTTTTCGTTTTTTTTTTTTTTTTTTTTTTTTATGCATCTCAAGTGGCACTTGTTTTTTAAGTTGATGCAAACCTCCAACGAAAGTCTTGAAATGTCTTGAATGGGTATACAAAAGTTAATATAAATAAATAATAATAAGAGATATTAAGCTTAAGATAACTCCTTCTTACAATTGCCTCAAAGTACATCATTTTATAATACGTAACGACGTAAAGGAAATGTAAATAAATAAATAAACACTTGAAGATTGATTATAAAGGAAAGACTGCTTAATAAAGTCGCGAATCGAGTTGAAATGAAACAGAGCACGAGGACTAGAACGAGATGTAGGGAAAAAATAAAATGTTTTATGTGAAATTCGTTTCTTTAAATAGTGGGCGTGTTTATAGCTGCAATTAACATGTTTTGTGCATCTATAACATTTTGGATCTCTTCGGAGTGTCAAACTGCCCTTGAAGCGAATTGATAGCGAAAAGAAATTTCGTTACAAAAATAATAAAGAGAAAAGGCAAACATTAAATTTCTCTTTGAAGACAGACAGACAGACAGACAGACAGACGGACATACAGATAGTTATATAGTGGTAGTAGAGGGCGAGTTCATAGGAATGGGTAGCTACAAGTTCTGCGATTAGAGATCAAAGAGTTTGTTTTAACAACCGCATAAGGAACAAGCCCCTTGGTTTTCAAGGTCACATCGTTTCTTCAAATTTAAACTGAGTGTTCATCTGCGCTCCAAGACTTCCTAAAGGAAAAAGACTTTTACACTGAATCCTAATCCCAATAGCAACGGTGTGCGTTCGTTTGTTCCTTTGGGCGATTCTTTATGGCTGTAGCTTAGAAGAAATATTCAAGAAGTGTTTAATATCAAATTTTTCTTTCCTCTTGAATTCTTCTGTATTCCATTAAAATCCCTTGCACGGATAAATCAACCAAATCAAGAAATCGTTGCATAAGTATAATGAATAAGTAACTCTTTGCGAGCATTTATTACCTATTCAATCCTGCGTAAGTATAATCTCCCCAAGCCTCTACGCCATTCGATACGGCCCTCCACTATTAAGTGTAAAAGTTGATATTTTTCTCCACATACCCTCGTGTCGAAAATATACAGTTTTTCGTTTTTTAATACACTTTAACAGTTCACGCTTAGAGTTTATTCCTTGGAGGATTTCAGCATCATTCAGTATGCGATCTGCCCATGATATTTTTGGGAATTTTACGGTAACACAACAACGCAAAGGTTTCCAGACGTTTAATGTCCATGATTCAAGACTCTACAAGAGCATCGATCGTACAAAGCATTTCAGGAAACGAAGACGACGGAATAAGCTCACTGCTCGGCTTGCTAGAATTTTCTGATATTTCTATTCTGATTTTTTATTTTTGAGGCGTTGTCCTTCTCGTCTTCGTGTAATATGGATGCCCAAAGTATACAAACTTCGAAACCCCTTTTCACATTTTGGTTATTACATAATTGATAGAGTAGCATTTTGCATACGGTACTAAATCAATCAGTCGAACGCTAAACGATTCATAGCGGCCTACTATGCCTATCATGCTTAAGTGTACGCTTTTTGATTAGGGTGCGCTATATTATAGTATGAAAACTGGATTCTATGTGTGTGTGCGTGTGCATGTGTATGTTTGCGTGTTTATGTGTGCTTGTGTGTGTGTGTGTGTGTGTGTGTGTGTGTGTGTGTGTGTGTATAATAAGCGTCAATTACTTTTAATTATCTCGCATTGCTCACCAGTGCTCAGGGTACCTCTTGAATTTTTGGTTGAGCTTATTAAATTAAAAAAAAAAAAAAAACACACACACACACACACACACACACACAGATCATATAAACTATAAAAACGCTTAACATAATTTATATTTTCCTGACTCGAGAAACAGTTGTCGTGAATTTTCGTTTGTTTATATCATAAATTTAATGATGACATAATAATATTTCATATGATTTTTTACAGGCATTCCCGCTTGTAACCCCCAAAACTGTACGTACCATGAATTACGTGTCGATGAATTTTCGAGTCGCGGATAATAATAAGTTACGAAAAAAAGTCAAAGTATTCATAGAGATATATGTGGCTAACTAAAAATGTTGTCCGTCACAAGTCGATTAAAATGATCTAAGATGAGAAGAAGTAACGTTAAGAACTGATCCCCTAGTTTGTCTGCAATTTTGAAAAGTTATATAATTTCTTTAGTTGACATCAATCCATTTGTCGTAAACTGGAAGTTTTTAATATGCCTACGCGTTTAATGGCAAGAGGATGCGTGATTGGGCCGATCGCTTAAAGGTCAGACCAATTAACTTCTGGGGAAGGAAAGAGAATTCGGATATGAATGCAATATGGCTAGAAAAACGTACGCTTCGTGAAAGGACAGCAGAATCAGAATAAGCAGAATTATCGTAAGCCATTTAAAAGCATTACTGCGAGCATTGTTGTTGTTGAGATCTTGCCCCAAATTTTTATTCAAATATCTTGCGAACATTTTCTTTAGCCAATTGTCGTACAATGTAAGAAATTATTGATTTACATCTAAAAGTGTTTTCATCGGCTTAAATTAAATTTCGTGTCGATGTTTTCGGCCACCGAAAAGGGGTCCGGGTAAGCACATCTCTGTAGATATTTAAATATTCGTTTTGAATAGAACATTCTTCCGTTTTGATTATATTTATTAAAAAACTTAGGAATCATTTTTCTCACTCGTTCTCTCTCTCTCTCTTCATTCACATCTTCTCGTCACTCTTTGCTTATAAATTTTCTTTGTGTATGCGATTAAAAATTTCTTCATATTTTTTCCCTTTTTTGCATTTATTTCTTTCATAAACTTAATGTACATTTGTTTTCTTCATTTATTTATTTATTTATTTTTTTTTTTTTTTCTTCTACTGCCACTTGGGCTCTTATTGCATTGTAGCTGGCTCGTTGCCCGTGAATTTAGTTTTCAGTGATCGCATTTTCGTTGATTAAACGTGACTGGTTTTGAGCTTTTTTTTCGCATTTGTTTAAAATTCCTAGTTGAACGTTCTATTGTTTGAAAGAAACAATAAAAATAAATAGATAAATAAATCAATAAAGGAAATTCAGATAAGCGAGAAAAAACTAAAAAGGAAAGGAAATGATAACATTTTCAAAAAACTTTAATGAATATTTGAAAATTTCATATAAATATTGTTGAAAAAAAATACCAAAAAAAAAAAAAAAAAATGTTTTTAAAAACAGTAAATAAAAAGAGAAAATTTATATAAAAATAATTAAATTAATCGACTAAATGTCAAATTATATTGTGAAAATATAAAATAACGAATAGTTGTGTAAAATTCAAGAATAAATTTATTAAAAATATCAAATAGCGTTTGCGTTCACGCTCGCCCCGCTACAGGTAGAAACATTAATAAACTAGATCGGGCATAACTAAAATTTTGCAACTTGACAGCGATTGAAACCTGAATAACTCAAATAAATGCAAAATAAGTAGAATAAGTAGAAATAAAATGCAAGAGTATGCTTAGAACAGAGAAGATTTAGAGCAGAAAATAAATCTTCTTACTACGTATGTTACGAGATAGTTTCTTTCGTGACGAATTCTCTTTAATGTTTTCCTTTAGCATTATTGGTATAAGTTTTCTTCCTTCAGGTGTATTTTGCAGTTTTAAGGCACATTTTCAATTTTTGGCGTGACGTTCAGCTTTTGCCAAATAACTTGATGTCCGATTTGTGTGTAGTGCCAGTCGCTGATCAAGTCTGATGCAGATTACTACTTAGCTTTCGGTATACAATAGATTATGTTGTTATGTGTGATTATGTTAGCATATATCTGAAACTGTGTTCATCTTCTATGAATCCGTCTATGAATCTCTTTGACCACGACTAGTACAGATTTTTGATATGGACTTTGAATGCGAAACTTCAATTTCCATAAAATATATATTATTGCATACCGCTTGAGTAATTGCGTACGTATATGCAAAGGAAATTCAAGTGTGTTGGTAAAAAGAGATAATAAATACAAAAAGCATCTTTACATATAAAAAGGTAAAAGTAGTAGTCGGTTGCGGATCAATAACGTTAAAGACTAATGTTCTATAATTTTTCATTCATGCTGCAAACCTGATGGTTATATATATATATATATGTGTATATATATACATAAAATATCTGTCCGATATAAATAAATAGCTTAGAAAACATGTACAAGCAGTAGAGTTGTTCTTAAAAGCTCTACACCATTTTACTTAAGACAATTATTCAAAATAATTCTTCATACGGGACGTGAACGAAAGAGTGGACCAATCCCGACCATTTTCAAAAGCATTCCTCCTTAGGCCCATGACATATGTTTATACCGAATTTCATTAAAATATCAAAAAAAATGCTGATAATATAATCGTGCAACACAAATGGTGTAGTAGAGTGCAAAGAGGAGAAGTACTAATGCTAATAATTTTCGCATAAATTTTATTGTTTCGGAAAAAGTTAAACTTTAATTTTAAATTTTTATATAAATTGCAAAATTTATATTTTTCTCTTCTCTTTGGTTTTTTACAAAAAAAAAAAAAACAAAAAAAAGAGTTGTTGTTTGCATTTTTTTCCTTTGATCTGCTTAATGCTTGCATTGT